TCTTGAAAGGGGAAGATAAAGATTTGTTCAAGAATTCCAGGTGAATTCGTTCCTTTTATTCTTTGTGAATCTTTGTGGAAAATCTTGAGAAGGGTTTCTCAAGTAATAAGGTTTCTTGTAGTGGGTTCTACAAGGGGTGCTTTCTTGGGGTCAAGAAAGTGGTTATCTTTAGTATAGAAGTATATGCATGTGTGTTTGCTTGTAAACCTTCTTGATTAAAGATAGTGGAACAAATCTTAATCAGGTGTTGATTAAGGACTGGATGTAGGTCACATGTGGAGTGGCTGAACCAGTATAAAAGACTTGTGCAATCTTCTTCAACCTTATCTCTTACTTTAAGTAATTTCTTGGTTGAACTTTAAAGAAGATAAAACTTGATTAACAAGTGCATGTGAATCTTGATGGTTTAAATCTGAACATTATTGTTGAACCTCATTATGTTGTAATCAAGTAAGCATATTGCATTCATACTTTAATAACAAGTCTTTAGAAGTGCTTCATTTGGAAATTCTGTCATAGAAAAGTTTTGATTGAAATTAAGATCCAAAATACTCTGATAAATTTTTAAAGGGTCATTGAATCCAATTCACCCCCCCTCTTGGATTGTGCCATTCTTTTCTATCAGTTTTGTAGAAGATGTCTTGGTTCGGGTTGGTGAACTTATTTTTCCTGCAAATTTTTATGTTCTTGATATGGAGGAGGGATTCTACCATGGTTATGTCCCAATCATTTTGGGTAGACCATTTTTGAAAACAGACCAGACCAAGATTGATGTATATGTTGGTACCTTGTCTATGAAATTTGGTGATATTGTTGTTCATTTTAATATTTTGGATGCCATGAAATTTCTTTCTGAAGCTCATTCTATTTTTCGTGCTGATTTGATTGATGATCTAGTTGATGAGCACATTCATGATTTTGATTCTTCTCATGCTAAGAAACATTCATTTTTATTTTATCTGTATAGATGCCTTTCATGCATTGAGCTGAGTCTGAATCTAAATATGAGTCTGAATGTGAAATTGATTGTGATGAGGCATCTGAATTTGATACTTTAGGTGTTGTACCTCTTGGTCTTGATTTTATAGTGTCAAAATGCACTAACCATCTTGTAGGAAGTAAAAAAGAATCTGACTTGGAGGTTGAGGTACTGGCTGCGGAACCCCTTCTCCCTTCTCTGGTTCCTTCTGATGTTCAGCTAGCACCCACACTAGAGTTGAAGCCTCTTCTAGAGAACCTCAAGTATGCTTACTTGGAGGATGATGAGAGATTTCCTGTGATCATTTCCACCTCCATTGATTCTAATTAAGAGGAGAGATTGTTGCATGTTCTTAGGAAGCATAAGAAGGCAATTGGTTGGACCCTGGCAGACATTCCTGGCATTAGCCCATCCACATGCATGCACAGGATATTATTGGAGGATGGAGCTAAACCAGTGAGACAGCCATAGAGAAGACTTAACCTGGTGATTCTGGACATGGTAAAGAAGGAGGTGACCAAGCTTTTACAGGCTAGGATCATCAATCCTATTTTAGATAGTCAGTGGGTGAGTCCAGTCCAGGTGGTCCCCAAGAAGACAGGCCTCACTATTGTTAATAATGAGAAGGATGAACTCATACCCACCAGAGTCCAAAATAGTTGGAGGGTCTGTATTGACTACTGGAGGCTCAACCAAGTGACAAGGAAGGATCACTTTCCTCTACCCTTCATTGATCAAATGCTTAAGCGTCTAGCAGGTCAATCTCATTACTATTTTCTTGATGGCTTTTCTGGTTATTTTTCAGATTCACATTGCTCTTGAGGATAAGGAAAAGAAAACATTCACCTGCCCCTTTGGCACTTTTGCCTATAGGAGGATGCTCTTTGGCCTATGCAATGCCCCTAGAACATTCCAGCGGTGTATGCTCAATATTTTTAGCGATTTTCTTGAAAATTGCATAGAGTTATTTATGGATGATTTTACTGTTTATGGATCGTCTTTTGATGCATTTTTCGATAGTTTGGATAGAGTTCTGAATAGATTCATTGAGACTAACTTTGTTCTTAATTTTGAGAAATGTGATTTCATGGTAAAGCAAGGTATAGTTTTAGGGCATATCATTTCTAGTCAGGGCATTGAGGTAAACCTTGCAAAAATATCTGTTATTGCACAATTACCTTACCCTTCTTATGTGCGAGAGGTGCGATCTTTTCTTGGCCATGGAGGTTTCTACAGGTGCTTCATCAAGGACTTCAGCAAGAAAGCCCTCCCACTATCCAGCTTGCTGCAGAAGTATATTGACTTCCATTTTGATGACAAGTGTAAGGAGGCTTTTGATTTCCTCGAGAATGCTTTGACCATCACCCCCATCATCTAGGCCCCTGACTGGACGGTCCCAAAGAGAATTTAAGAAGTAAGGAAGATAAGAGTAGAGTAGCAGATGATAATTAAGATGACACAAAACAAGTAGTTGACTAGAACAAGAAGGAATTGACCTAAGATTAGTTCTAGAATGGATGCACAAAACCAAAACACTCAAAGATATGTGAGCTGAAAATATTATGATTCAAGGATAAGTACAAACCGAGAAGAAACAAATGATAAACCAAACTCCTTAATTGACTTTTGCTTTTCAATTTAGGTTTAGCACTTTTTTTTAATCAATTTGTTTTGAATTTTCTTTTGATCTTTCTTCTAATTTTTTTTTTTAATCTTAGGAGTTGCCTTTTGCTTTCCAAAATTTATGTAGCATATAAGTCTTGGTCACTCTTAGGTAGCACTAAAAACCGGATTCAAAAAGATATGCCAAATGACAAGCAAATTAGGTTTAAATTCAAGGCAAATGTGACATGCTTTTGATGCTTGCAAGTTTGAATGGCACATGCACGGTTTTTGGCTCCAAAATTCAAATTCAAATGAGCAACAAACACAATTTTCCAGCACACTTCCAATTGACAAGATCAAAGACTTCACGGATTTAGAAAAATTTTGAAGACATTTTCAAAAATTGGAAACCTAAAAAATTTTCTAAGAAAACTACTAATGATCTAATAGTAGTTCATGAACTCAAGTGAAACAAAACTTATGAGCTTATACCAAATGACTAGGGATCTCGGCCAAATCCAGAAAAAAATATTTTCAAGATGCAAATCAAAATTCAAAACGGATCAACAAGCATTGCTAAGATAGATGAACATACAAAGGACTACACAAACCTACTAGACATGGATTCAAAAATAAAACCAAATGACTCAAGCATGTAATGACCGAATAAAATTTCAAATATAACTCAAAGAAAGCAAAACGTTCTTAGGCAGAAAATTTCCTAATAGGCAATAGATTGGAGCATGATTCATGGAAGCATATAATAATGAAGCATAAATGAATCATTCAAGCAATCAAGAAACTAGATCCATCAAATTTTAAGGCTAAAAATAGATCTAGGAAGGAAGAAACTCTCATGTGACAAGAACTCAAAACAAGATGAACACAAGATGAAGAGAATTAACCACGGATCACAATCATCAAAAGACAAGAACAAGACTTATCTCTTGAAGAAAACCGGATGCTCTTGATACCACTTGATGTGATTCCACTTGGAAATCACAAGAATTCTTCAAGCCTTCACGGAAATCCTTGGAAGAAGCTTCAAGGATGGAGACTCCACAAGGCTCAATGTGACCTAAGCTTGCATAGAAGCTAAGTCCGGAGAAGACTAAAGTTCCTAGCTCTACAAGGAGAAGCACTCAAGGAGGGTAGAGTTTAGGAAGCAAGGTGACTTCGGAGGAGATGAATTCAAAGAGAGAAAAATCATCAATATATCCAAAGTGTGCATACAAGTCTCGACCATAGTGATTTATAGGAGAAAATTAGGTCAAGGTGACCATGGGTTAGCCTAAGGTTAAGTGGAACCAAGGTAAGGTTCACTTAACCTTAGGCGCCCAAAATTTGAATTCAAAATTCAAATTTTGGTGCTAAAAACCCGGATCACCCATGTGCTAGCTCATTTGGAATGTAATTAGAATTCAATTTGAGTTGCATTTCGGATCACACCATGTGCATGTGTTGCACATGGCCGAAATGCACACCAAATGTGATTCTAATTACATTCTAATGCAACTACACATGTAACCTAAATAACCCTAAATTCAAATGACCTCTATATGTAATCCCTAAGCTACATGGCCGGAAATACAAGGCCCAAAAGAAATACAAGGCACTAAGGCCCAATCCTACACTAACCCTAATCTACTTGGGCTTGAGACAAAGCCCAACAAAATAAAGTGATGGGCTTCACTTGGGCTTGGGCCCACTCCTCATGCATCCTTCTTGCCATAGCCCTAGTAGTTGGGCCCTTGGCCCATGGGCTTCCTCCATTAGGTTCCGACTAGGGAACCTTGTCTTCCTCGACCTTAGGAGGAATCTCTATCGAGGCCACGATTGAAGCAATCTTAGCAACATTTAATTGAGGCGTGGCCAACTACAAACAAATGAGGCGATCAGAAGAAATAATTAAAGTTAACAAAAATGAAAGCTGGTGAAAAGGTGAACTTGTTGAGATGCCCCAGTAACAAGAGTTATATCTCTCGACATTTCTCGAGAGGAGTCAATTTGGATGATTTCGACGTCCTATGATGAGCAAATATCTTAGAAAAATCGAAGAAAGAAGGAAATGTAATCGAAATCAAAATAAAAATACCTTGGGAAGCGACTTCATCGCATCCTTAAGAAGTTTCTCACTAGAAGGCCTTTGAGTTTTCTTGGAAGAAGGGATCACTAGTTTTCCCTTCCCTTTTATCTGGCTTTTTTGTGGTTGAAACCTAAAATTGGAAGACACATCTTTATAGTTAAGACTCGAAATAAAGACTAACAAAATATACTAAGGCACAACAGTTTACTTACAGTCTTAGTGCTGCCCGAGTTCACCTTTTGTTTTTTCGAGGTTTCAATACTCTAAAAATACAAGAACTAGAAAAGGTAAAGTGAAATAATCCAGAAATTTGATTGAAGGGTTAGCTCGAAAAGAAGTATAGCTTGGAGCGTAAAGAAACCTTGTCGGAAGCGGTCTTTCTTTTTCAACCTTTCAATGATGCCCCCTGAACATCATCATCATCATCACTCTCCCAGTTGGGAGTTTGTTCAACATGTTGTGGAACACGTTGGGAAATAACAGCTGTATAACACAACAAAGAAAAGATGAGATAAGTACAAAATGGAATTTGAGAAATTTTCTTAGTGGTAGTCATTTACCAAGGGGAGGATTGGTGTTATCGACCAAACATAATGGCCACCATCTTCTTCGAGGAAAATCGTACAGGGAACATCTCGCGTAAGTAACTCGATTCCTTATAGGGACCTCTTTACATTCAAGATAAAGTGGGTCGAGAGTTTTTACCCAAGGAGGATAAGATAAATACTTTGCTAGACCAAAAAGAGCGTTTGAAAGAGGAGGTATATTTTTAGGACAAAATTTTTTGAAATCAGTTTTTCCTCGAGGATTAATTACCTTTTTCGAGCGGATGTTCCTTTGTACCATTTTCGATAAAGACACAGATGCATCGAAGATGGTTCGACCAATATTGTCAAGCCAATAACAAACTTTAAAAAACTGCTCAAATTGATGAATAAGAGTTCGGTTCTTGAAAGTACCTGAATGTTTCGATCCCTGCGAAGAAAGAGGAGAGTTGATCAGCTTCTTCAAAAAAGCATCAAAATCGACAAGTTTATCTACATAATATTCACACCACCATCGATGATAACATCTTGAGACTAAGAAGGAAGGAGAGAAAGTAGATGGTGTGAGCTTAAGTTCTGTGCCAGGACGGAGGATAAAATCTAGAACTTCTTGGTAATTCCCTTCTTCAACACAAATATCAGCATCGATGCTCTCTTTACGTCGGAGAGGAAGTGGTTTCATTTGACAAAGTCCGAATTGTCGAGCAAAGAGCTGAGGCTGATAAGGGTAAATTCGAACATCCTTTTGCCGCATTCCCGAGATTATAACATCCCACGAAAGAAAGCCAAACCACATCTCGAGAGAATCGTGGGATATTTGCCCTACTTGATTGTTCTGTCGAAGCCAAGAAGGGCCCATTAATGTAGTCCATATAAAAGGTGCCATATCTTCACTGAAGTTTGTAAAACTCAAGATAACATCAATATATTTGGCGAAATTCTGGATTGAGCATTTTCGAGGAGTGAGAGTGGTCAAACGAGCTCCCTCTAGTGCACAGGTTGGAGTAAATGATGAAATCAAAGAAAGTTTTTTCTCAAAAATGGCGTTGAGCCACAATTGAAGCAGCCATAAGGGTCCCGAGAGATTTCGAGGACCAGATTCTCGAAAAAGACTCTCCGAGGCTTCATCAAGACAGGTATATAAGGAAGCTAATAAGAGTTTGCTTAAGCAAATTCTCTTCTTCAAATGTAAAGCTTGAGCCAGAACATAGTAATATTTCGGAACTTGAAGGGAGGGAGTACAGAAGACACACGCAGATAACCAATACATTAAGAATGCAATATGCTCAGAAGTCGAAACGGGGGTATCCGGTTCTCCTACGTGAGCAGTGATAAAAGCTAGGTAAGTCTTCTTGTCCCAAGAAATAGAAGTTTCCTTGATCGAAATTTCTTCCTCAAAAGCATCAGGGTGAAATCTATCTCCTATGGGAGCCAAACCAGTGATTGTCGCAATATCCAACAAAGTAGGGCATACAAAACCGCAGGGGAACTCGAAAGCTCAAGTCTCTCGATTCCAAAAGAAAATAGCAGAAAGAAGCATTTGGGGGACGAAGAGGTGTAAATCAAATTTCGCAAGTTGAATAAATTCGAAAATATCGGTTTCAATCCATGAAGAACTCATTGCACTTTCTATGCGGGTTAACTAGCGCAAGTGCCTATCTTTAATAGGAGGAAAGGCTCTAAAGATCTTAGTGGTATCTCCAAACAGTGATAGGTCTATCTCAGAAGAATGAATAAAGGGGAGGGTAGAGGTATCTTCAGGTAATAAGGTATTGCCAAATTTTTTCTTATTTTGACCTATAAACGGCCTTAAGAAAGCATGCACATTACCATTCTCAAGAGAGAAGGGAAGTAGTACCTGAGATTGGAAGATTTTTAGGCTCGCCTCTTCCATGCCTGGAATAGGGACGAAGGTATCGTCTCCATCTTTGACCTTGCAGACTTGGGCATTAGCCATCAGTAGAGGACCTATCTGAGTAGAGGTTGCGGTGGCGGTGGCCATGGTTGTTACGGGGGTCACGGTAGGAGACGTTGCATTCGCCAAAACCGGAGATGAAGCCGAGGCAGTAGTAGGAGAAGCTGTGGAGGCTACAACGGCAGAAGTTGATGCAGCAGAAGAGGCCATGGATGAACAACAACAAA